CAGCCTTGCCACATCCAATATGGCGGCGACGTTGACGTATCGCAGCAGCGGACAAACCCACTTGATGCGGCGTCTACGTATATATATGTCTATGGTGACAACGGTCTATCAGTCTGTTTCTCTCACTATAGACAGACAGTGTCTCCCACTGAGAGACGCCATCAATCAGTGTCTCCTCCATCTTGTCTCACTCTGAAAACCAGGTCTCTGCTATTGGCTGAGGCTGTGATATCACATGTCAGAGGTCACCACAGATGAACACATGATGCAGAGATGAGAATCAACTTCACCACCAGAGGACGATGTCTCCTCGTAATTCAGCTCACACTGACTGGAAGAGGACTCAAGGAGAACTCAAAGATTGTCATATGGATTACTGTTAATTTATTATGTTGATCTGTTCTGTACGACATCTATTGCACGTCTGTCCGTCCTGGAAGAGGGATCCCTCCTCAGTTGCTCTTCCTGAGGTTTCTACCGTTTTTTCCCCGTTAAAGGGTTTTTTTGGGGAGTTTTTCCTGATCAGCTGTGAGGGTCATAAGGACAGAGGGATGTCTTATGCTGTAAAGCCCTGTGAGGCAAATTGTGATTTGTGATATTGGGCTTTATAAATAAAATTGAATTGAATTGAAATGAAAGACTGAGTCCTGACACGAACCAAAAACTGTTGGAGACGTTTCAAATGTTTCAACTTCAGCTTCATCAGGAGGACAAAGACANGGCCCCAAGTCAGGACAGGAACCCGGACCTAAGTGAGAGAGAAGAAGACTAGTCTGGTTTATTGATCTGATTCTTTGATGTTACCTCCTGCTGCTCCTCTTTTTCGTCCTTGTCCTCGTCTTCATCCTCCAGCCTCTCCTGCCAGTAGTTTCGGAGGCTGTGGAAGGAGATCGCTCCTCCGTCAGGGCAGCTGTGGTCTTGGGGGTGTTTGTGCCACTCTAGCAGTGGCGGTACGGCCCGTTCCTCCTCCACCGCCCGTTCGAGGTCCTCCAGCATCCTTAGTGGTAGCGTTGCCACGACGATGTAATAGAAAAGCCTCTGGCTGACGGCGTGAGCGCAGGCTGACCCCGCATGGCCGTCAAACACACCAAACAGCACGCCGCCACGACCTGGCAGGCAGGTGGCGCTGCTCCGGCGGTCTTCGCCAGGATGGTTGGATGGCAACATGTTGCTATGAAAACCCAAGACGCCATGGGAGGCGGGGCCTCTAGGGAGGGTGTGGCTGTACTCGTTGGCCTGGTAACAGATGGACAGGTCAGTAGTTTGACAGGTTGATTGATTGACACCTTGATTTACAAATATTTCACCTTTAAGATGTGGTTGATCTGAGCCAAGCTCATCTGCCCCGCCTCCTGCCCCACCCGGTACTTCCTGCTCCTGCTGCCTGCTGGGTAATAGAGTCTAGGGAGCTCAGGAGCGGAGGGGGGAGGGGAGAAGGAGTGACGACACTGGTCGAGCTCAAACCTGCAACATCCTCCCAAGGTTCCTGTTCTTCTCAACATGGTCACTCACTGGGAGGAGAACCGGCAGGAGAACCAACAGGAGAACCCTGCAGGAGAACCATCAGGGTAATCAGATTCACACCCCTGTTGTTGTTGTTGTTGTTGTTGTTCCTCTCTTTGTTGTTTTGTTGATAAATAAACTTATTCAGACTTTGATCAGAATCTTTTGTGAACCATTTCAGGTTCTACGTTCTGTCAGACTTTATTTTAATATTAAAGGTCCAGTGTGTCAGGTTTAGGAGGTTCAGGAGGATCAGGAAGTTTAGGAGGTTTAGGAGGATCAGGAGGTTTAGGAGGTTCAGGAGGATCGGGAGGTTTAGGAGGTTTAGGAGGTTCAGGAGGATCGGGAGGTTCAGGAGGATCAGGAAGTTTAGAGGTTCAGGGGGATCGGGAGGTTTAGGAGGATCGGGAGGTTCAGGAGGATCAGGAAGTTCAGGAGGATCGGTAGGTTCAGGAGGATCGGGAGGTTCAGGAGGATCAGGAGGTTCAGGAGGATCGGGAGGTTCAGGAGGATCAGGAGGTTTAGGAGGATTTAGTGTGGTCTGTCAGCAGAACATCTCCTGGTCAGAATCCCTTCAGTGATCAGGAGCTGATTCTCATCAGGAGCAAAAACATCAGAGCGTAAACACATGAACGTCTCTGTCTATGGTCAGTGTTTGGTTTGTCCGTTCTAGACTACTGTAGAAACACAGCGGAGCATCGTGGTGATCTCTGTAGACTGAGAGACAGCGAGATCCTCCCAGTGGCATTGGCAGGTACTGGTACTGCAGCGGCAGTCTGTGGCAACCTGTGGCATCTCCTGGCACCCGCTCGGCAGTTCAGAAACGCCTCCCTTGACTCGCTGCCAATAAGGGCGGGGCCACATTTCCTGGGAAAACCCACTGGTCCATGTTGTTGTTACGACAGTCACTCTGCTTTCCACTTCCGCCATGGAGTCATGATGAATACAAAACAAAAAATAAGGGAAAAATCAGCTACTTGGTGACACATTTTAATGTACAAAGTTTTGCACAATTTCTCTTTGTTTTGCACTAAATATTATTTAAATATATATGAATATCTGTTCCATAGCATAAATGTGAATGTAAAATATTGTACATATTGTACTATTCTTATTCTTATATTTAATATTTTATATTTCCCTGTGTTTATATTATTCTTATTTTCTAT